ATAGATTGTGACTATATAGGATAGATTTTAATAATAAAGTGTTTTGAACATTCAACTGGTGTAACTATATAGTAGAATGTGACTATAACAGGAGTGACTATAGAGGGAGTTGACTGTAATGGAACTTCGAGAGATACAGTCTGAAGAAACAAAAAAAAAAAAGAAGAATTGGCACTTGATGTAAAGGGAATGAGGACGCTTGATACATTATTTACAAGTACTGAAGCATCAACTAGTATGCTCTCACCACAATCATTGCAGCCACAATTTCCACTTCCATCTCTATTTTCATTTTCTGAAACACAAAATCGTTCTTTAATTACTAAAGAGCTTACAAGAAATCTACAAATACGCCTAAAAGAAATAAATCAACAATGCTTAATAATGAAATCAGCAAAAACAAATAAAAATGTTTTTACCTATGATTATTTACGTCGTCTAAGTATACGTAGGTATATACAATTATTATTAGATGGTCAGGGTAAAATGGATGCCAGTAATCAAATTGCATAAATCATGTGGGACAAAGGTGATTATATTGCAAGATGTATTCGAAAATGGAAAGCCCACTTTATACAGACAGGAGAGCTTCTTATCTATCATCAAGGAAAACATACAAAATTGGAAAGTTTGCTAAATAATGAAGACTTTAAGGAAGAATGCCTAACATGGTTGCGACAACAAAAACCAGAATCACGTACTCCTAGAAACCTGAAAATGTATATTGAAGGAATAATATTTCCTAAATTAACGGGTCATATTAAAAAAGACACGATTTCTGAGAAAACTTGCCGAAATTACATGCATTTGTGGGGATATAAGTATGATGAAAGAAGGAAGGGAGTTTATTATGATGGGCATAAGCAACCGGACGTAGTGCTATACAGAAAGGAATGGTTGAAGAAGATGTTTGAATATCAAAAGTTTATAAAAGAATTTGATGGTGATATGATGGATATTGTTTCAGAATTCCAGTTTAAGCCAGGAGAAAAAGAACTAGTCCAAGTGACATATGATGAATGTCACTTTTATGCAAATGATGGGCAATAAAGAATCTGGATAAGAGAAGACGAAGATATCCTACGCTCAAAGCACCAGAGATGTTCCATTATGATTTCAGCCTTCCTTTGTCCATGTCACGGGTTACTACGATTATCCAATGAACAGTTACAGGAAAATCCACACATAAAAAATAAAGAGGCTTTTGTTATTTGTTCTATACAAACAGATGGATATTGGAAATCAGAGCATATGTTAGATCAAGTAAGATTAAATATGGTTGGAAATCTCAGAAACAAAGAAAAAAAAAACAAATCCTGATTAAGGATTTTTCATTTGCAAAAATAGCTTGTGCATCAAGCTATTCCAATATTTGAGATACTGCACCCTGGTTGTGTTGGAGTTTTCTGTTTTGATCAATCTACAAATCACAATGCAATGGCAGCTGATGCACTAATTGCGACAAGAATGAACTTGAGTCCCGGAGGAGCACAACCTAAAATGCGTGATGGATGGTATATCGATAAAAATGGAGAGAAGCAGACACAATTAATGGTATTTCTAGGTAATCATAAACTAAAAGGAAACCAAAGGGTATCAAGCAAGTACTTACAGAACGTAACCTTTGGCCAGAGAAAAGTATTCGTTTGATGTGTGAGCAGTGTTCAGGAAAATAAGATGATAATATTGATCTGAAAAGACTAGACTGTTGTGCACAAAGAATAATGTCACTGCAACCAGATTTTTGTGAACAACGGTCAATATTGGAATAAGTATTAATTAAAGCAGGACATATTTTTGAGCGTTACCCAAAATTCTATTGTGAATGCAACTTTATAGAATGGTACTGGGGTTTTGCAAAACGGGAAACAAGGCGGATATGCAATTATAATTTCAATGATTTATTGATACAGGTTCTGGAAGTTCTCATAAGTGTTTCTGTAACAACTATCCGCAAGTTTGCACGTAAATCATGGAAATACATGGATGCATACAATAAAGGATTGGAAGGTAGGACTGCCGAGTGGGCTGTTAATAAATATAAATCACATCGTCGTTTACCTGAAAATATTGAAAGAATAATGGATCAGTTAGATAATACATAAGTACATATTAATAATAAAGACATTAATTAATGCATACTTTACATACTTAACTGCTTTTATGGTTGACTGGTATAACTTTTATAGCAGTATTAACTGCTTTCATGTTGCTGAAAAGTGTCATTTTTCTCATTGTTTACAGTGAAATTAAAATTAAAATGAAAACACGTAACGTTTTTGCATGTAAAAATCTAATCAAAATTTCAAATCTTAGATTTTATTGGTCAATTTCGAGTCACGTGATTTAGGTTCGGTTCTCGGAAAATTGAAACAAAATCACGTGATTGTCGAGTATAGACTTCCGGCACCATATTTAATTTACATTTAAATTTTGCCTATTTCAGTATATTTTGAGGATATTTAAAATAAGAATATTTTAAGTATATTATTATATACTTAAATTATCCTTTAAACGGTTTTGCCGGCAAATTTGCCTGCAATTTTTCAAAATAAATTTATATCCAAATATAAAGTTTGTCAATATGATTTGGATTATCCTATAATTCCGCAGCTATATTGATCTACATTTTTAGCATCAATTGTATGGTTTTGATATGTAATTAATAACTGCTAATCACCGAAATTAGTCACAAATTAACCTCAAAAAAATAACATCAGAATTTTTATATAATAAATTAATTTTCTTTACCATAATATTCTGCTTCATTACAAAGCATTTTAATATATTTTTTTATTTTTATTATGAAACTTCACACTCTAATGAACAAAATAGAGATGATAAAATTTAACTTTATGCATTTTTTACAAGTTCACAAAAATAATTCTTTTTTTAGGGTTCTATGTAAAGTCAAAATGCCACTTCTAAACATTAAAAATCATCATAACAAAAGTTGTTCATCATAGAAATTTCTACATATTCAATTAAGCTTTAATATAGCTGCAATCAAATTCCAATGAGATCGTCAAAGTTAAATGCAAATTTTTCAAAATTTTTTGTCATTTAAAAAATATAACTTTTGACCAATGGTCAATCTTCAATCTTATAATATGTAATTAATAAATAATGATTATTGTCACATAAATTATGATTAAAGCTCTTTGCGAAAAAAAATTTTATTAGAATAACTTCATTTTTCATAAAATTAGATGAGAACTGAATTTTCGGTAAAATTGCAGGCAAATTTGCCTGCAATGTTTTACCGTTTAGTAAGGGATACTTAAATGATTGCCTATTTCAGTATATTTTAAGTATAAAATAAAATTTTAAGTTTATTTTAAGTATATTTTAGCAAAAATATTTTTTATAGAAAATATAAATTTATAATATATGTAATCAAAATTATAGCCTACAAGTAAAACATTTAATGCCTAATTTAATTAGAAATTTTTATATACAATTATTTAGTAAAATATTTTTTAAGTAAAAAATATCTTTATAAATAAATTTTTCTTTTTTAAAATTTAATTTCTTATTTTCAAGTATCTTTATATATTGTAATATTTTTGTAGTATTTAGATAATTTTTGCAAAACTAAAATTAGAATTTATTTATTTTACTATACCAAAAAAATGCTCAATATTATGCATTTAAGAAATTAAAGATATTTGAAAATAGTGTTGTTAAATATCATTAAAATGATATTGAAATAATATCAAATAATATTAAATAGAAATTTTCTAAGTTTACATGGGGTGTTTGTACACGGGTCATATAAATATAATTTTTAATAGACTAATTTTTTGTTTTTTAACTTGAAATTGAATGCTACCGACATTATACTCTTTTACTTTTTATTCTTATTATATTACAGATAAATATATGTATTTTCACCTGCTCTGAAAGTTTATTTAAGGCATTAAAGGAGGTTTTGAATGCCGTTTTTAATCTACTAATATGACCCGTGTTTAAACACTCCGTGTACAAATAGAAATTGCCTATTAAATAATATTGATTTTATTATAAAAAAATATGAAAAATAACAAATATTATTTGAAAAATAGGCAAATAATATAGCAACACTGGTAAAAAAATGGTCTATCCTACACATATCCTACACATATCTTACATATATCGGGTACTCAAAATGTAGAAAATTATACACAAATAATACATATATCATACACATATCAGGTACTTATATATATAGTATACCTATCAGGTACCTGATATATGTATGATATATATATTAGTACCCGATATGTGTATGATATGTGTATTATTTGTGTATGATTTTCTACATTTTGAGTACCCAATATGTGTAAGATATGTGTAGGATAAATCATTTTTTTACCAGTGCAATTTAACAACATTATTTGAGAATAATATTTACAATAAATCTTAATTAATAAAACTATTAATTAACAAAGAGAAATAAATATTAAAAATATTTGATCAGCAAAAAAATTCTGGTTTATTATAATAAAATCAGTATATCTTTATACAAATATTTTAATATGAAATTGCTAAAAATATAAAAAGAAAAAACTAATTATTGCTATTTTTATTTTTTCAATAAAAGTAATATTATGATTAAAATAACTATTTACAATTTCACTTAAATTAGTAATATAATATTTGATTAATAATAAATTAAAATTGTATTTAAATTAATAATAAAAGAAATTTACTACTTATCTATCACAAATAGATATATAAAAACTATCCATTTTAAGTTGTATTTTATAATTTACAGTTAAGTATTGTTTTAAATTTGAAAAGTAAAATGTTTTATACATTAGCAGTACTAGTATCATTTTGATAATCTAATTTTATAATATCATTTTTATATATAATTGAATTATAATGATTAATAAGATTGAAAAAATTAAAATATTGAATTGATGAATTTCTAAATATTAATTATAAATAGGATTTTTAAATTAAGTAAACCTTTCCAAAATTTTACAATTAGTTTCTTTAAAATTTTACTATAATTTTATTATAATTTTAGCAAGATTTCAGACTTTCAGCAGTTTTAGTATTTATAATAAGTTTTATTAGATTTTGCTTTTTTTCAGAGTTTTATCAATAGTTTTAGCAAAATTTTATTATTTTAGCATTTTACTAATTTGCTAAAATCATTTAATTTTTTCAGTAATTTTATTCTAAATATTAAAGTATTGCAGTTTTTTGCATATATATATAAATAATAAGACTAATAATATTAAAATTAGATAATTAAAACAAATATTTAAATTATTATTATAAATAGAAAATTATTCTAATGTTAAATTATAAGTATTTTTTTCTGTACTTGAAATTCAACAATTACTCTATTTGAATTAATTAATAATATATAAAATTATAAATATGGGGCGAATAATTAAGATTGCTTGGCTAAACTCATTTTAACTTTTGACAAAAGTCTAAACTTTAATTAGTAATAGTTTAAACTATGACAAAAGGTTTTGACAATTGCTAAATGTTTAAACTATATCTAAACTTTCTAATTAATAAAATTTAAAATAAAATATTATATATTAATTAACAATTATTAATAAATACAGTCAGACCTCCATATAGTCACACTCCATATAGTCATATCATATAAAATTTCTCCATATAATCACACTTCTAGGAAAAACCAATTTATATAATTATTATTTTATATAATCATATTATAGTAAAAACCTTTATATAGTTACCAATTTTTGCAGAACCAATTAAATAACTATATAGAAATCTAACTATACTAATAATAATATATAAAAAGTAAAATTATAAAACCTGTCTCTTATACACATCTAGATGTGTATAAGAGACAGGAACTATTCTATAAATGATACTTCCAGCACCTGATCAGTCCAATCAAACATTAACTATTATATCACAAATAAATTAAAAATATATAAAATTAAATAATAAAAGTAAACCAAAATAATTAAACCAAAATACTATACTATAAACCAAAATTAAACTAGAAAGAAAAATAAAAGAAAAATGAAAGTAAAGTAAAATAAAATAAATTATTATTATTATTATTTTTTTTTTTTTTTAAATTATTACTCCAGTAATTTTTTGCTTATGTATAATGTAACCTTATTAAACTTCTTCTTTATTGGAATCCAATACTCAAATATGTATTTCTTTATAAAGGTATCCATTGATTTCTTTACCATTGGAATCCTTTTGTACTCGATCTGCTTTTCTTGTTTGTATATCTTTTGCTTTATCTGAAGGTTGATTTAAGTGGTCTTTTGCTTTATTTAAAGGTTGATTTAAGTTGTCTTTTATTTTGGGTTCTGAAGTAATTTTATCTGTTCAAGTAATGCCTTTTCTTTTTTCCCATAAAATGATTTGTTCACATTTTGGTTTCCATAATAATTCTTTAAATGTTAAAATGAACCGTATTAAAATGTTAGCCATAAGTATCTGTGCTTCATTAAGAGTTATTTTAAAATCTTTTTGTAATTTTATTGTTAAATGAGTTTCAACTTTCACTTTCAATGCCAAGTGTTGGAACTTTTGGAATTTTTCTGACCTTGCTGTAATTCCTAATATATCTTGTAATACATTTCTAATAAAATCTTCACCTTGGCATTTAATTTGCTTTTGTTTTAAACATATAATTATAGATTTTTCTGTTATAATCTCCAAAATTTTTTGCCAAATCAATTCATATGCTTGGCATTCAAATAAGTGATTCCAATTTTCCTTTTTGTTACAGTTCATAACACATTTCATCTTCTTATAAAGTTTTGGCTTTCTTAATGCTAGAATAGATCCTAAAGGAAGGATTTTATGAAATAGTTTTGCTATAAAAGTCCACAAATAGTTAGTTTGCATACTAGTGCAGTGAAACCCTTTGCAATAATGGAAAATAAGCCAAGTAATTTTCCAGTCTATCTGATTAACATCTCCATAACATAATTCCTGATTATTTTTTAACAATGACCATTCAGTAGCTTCACCTGTAGCTAATATTTTCAAAATAAATCGTCTAATATTAACTTCAATAGGATTATCTATAAAAACAGGAAAGTAGGATAGTATATTATTAATAAAATTTATATTATTTCTAAAAAGATTATTTCCACATTGTCCTTTTTTTGCCAATTTGTCAGCTATATCATTGCCTATAATGCCACTATATCCCTTTATTTTAACCAACTTTATGTTTATTGATGCCTCTCTGATTAGCATAATTATTTTAATAATGATCAAGTTATTAGTTTTTTTTAATATATTTTAATATATAATGATTTAAATAATTAATATAAATTATATAATTTATTATAATAAATGGTAAACTTTATTAATTACTATGTAAAAATATGTCTAAACCTTTCGCAGTTTTACCAGTTTCATCAGTTTCGCAGTTTCGCAAATTTTTAATTTTTTAATAAAATGTTTTAACTAGTTTTAATTTCAACAATTGTCTAAATTACTTAGTTTTGCCTAGCAACCTTAGGCGAATTAATTTTTTATGTAATATTAAAATATCATTAGCAGTATCTTTTAATTTGTTAAGTATTAAAGCAATTAAAATATATTAGTTTAAATAATTTATAATAAACAAACCAGATCTATATATATTATATAATATTTATATATTTAAAATAAATATAAGTAATTTAATTATTTTTATATATAATTATTATAATACAATTATCTTAAATTTTAGTAATCTAATTTATTATTACTAGTATTTATAAATACTATATATAATATATATTTTCACAAAAATTTATTTATTTAAATCAAAAAAATTACTTTAATTAAAATTGTTTAGCATTTTTAAAAATAATTTTAAAAAAAAAATTTAATTTGTATTATTTTTATTTTTTTTATACTACAAATATTGCAAATTTAAAAACTTAAAAAAATATATATATTGTAATATTAAATATTGTAATATGAAATAATATTTATTATATTAATAATATTTATTAGTTTAATTAGATTATTAATATAAATTATATACAGTCAACTCCTTCTATAGGCACACCCCTTAGAACTAAAAAAATATTGTATAATTATAAAAATACTATATGGTATAACTAAAAAGAGGGTTTTTTTAATAAGTTTATTAGTAACTTAGGGCTAATATAAATATGCTTATAAAAAGGGTGTAATTGGGTTGACTATAATTATAATATTAAATATTATAGTATAAAATGTTTAATTAATTAAGTAAAAATAACATTATTTTTATAAAAAATAAAACTTAATTTACAATAAGAAAAATTTTTTTTTTTAAAAAAACCTTATAATATATTTATTAAAATGAAAATTTGTATAAGATAAATAATAATATTAATTAATCATAACTATCCATTAATTTATAAATCTAAATATCTAATTACTATTTTTTAAGTAACAAATAATTTTTTTTTATAAAAACAATAAAAATGATTTTTAAATTATATAAATTATATTAATACTAGTTAAAACTTTAAAATTAACTATTTAGAACTTTATTACTAGTACTTAATATCATATAATATATATTTCAAAAAGTTATTCTAATTAAAATTATTTAGCATTCTTAAAAATAGTTGAAAAAAAGATTTAATTGCTACTAATTTTATTCTTTTTATACTGCAAATATTGCAAAAATAAGAAAATTCGAAAAATCTAGAAAAATATAAGTAAAGTAATATATACTTTAACATTAAGTATTATAATATAAATATAATATTATATTAATAGTATTTTTTTTTATTTTATAGTAAATCAAAGTGGAGTTATATTCGTTATGTTACCATATTTTTTTATTTCGTCTGTTAACGTGAGCGAGTTGCTGTAGTAGTGCTTTTATTGGAATATTTGACTCGGATAAAAAAATAGTGACACGTTCCGGAGCAAATAAACATTGCTAGGAAATATTTTTTGGGGGATCGCTTTATGTGTGAGTCTCACAATTAATAGTCGCACATATGTATCACTTATTACATCATATACACCCTGCTACGCGCTATAATTATAGTAGTATTTACTTTCCTGAACTCTAAATAGGAGAAATAAAAAACCATGTGACCGCGTGAAAAAATTTACAATTTATAAGATTTTTTTGTTTGTGCATGTGAAGAGTTACGTTGTAGTGGATTGGCCCTACGGAAAAAAAATAACGGTAACTTTTTTTGGTGTTTCTATATCTCTATCTGAATAATGCAATAAACTCCGCAATAAGGTGAATGTTTACAACCCACATTTACCCGCATATATTATAAACATGTTTTATTTCAGTAATCAACCATTTATAATTGAGAGTGAGATACCGATCTATTTATGGTATCCAATCAAATAGCATGATCGAACATCTAATAGAAAACGCAAATATACTATATCATAAATTATTCATATTCCAAAAGTCTGGGTTGTTTGGGTTGATTATAATTGTAATTGATAGCAGGTAAAGTAGTTTGAACAGGTGGCTTTGGTTGTTCATTCCAAAAGAAGGAACTAAGCCAGGAAAGGACGCCGGTGGATTGACCGGGTTGATCGAGTTGATTTGGTTGGGCAACATAGGCCATCCTCTTACTATAATCATAATAATTATAATTGTAATTGATAGCAGGTGGAGCAGGTGGAGTAGGTGGAGTAGATGGAGCAGGTGGCTGATTATAACAAGAAAGTTAGAAATATACAACACAATAGTTCTGTAATTGAAAGAAAGAACAAAATTCCTACCTGTTTAAGTGCTTCGTTACGCATTTGAAGCTTGAGCTTGAGTTTGAAGTCTTTATTAAGACCGTCTAGTTTCCTTTCAAAGCCTTCAATTTTATTTATGTCCTAAAGTGAAAAGAAAGGACTGTATAGTGAATAACTATAAGTCGATTGATATACTGATAATATATACTTACATCACGAACATTAACAAACTTTTTGATACGTCCTTTTTTGTTGAATCTTTCAAAGAAGGGTATAATTTCATCCTTAATCAAATAATAATATCGTGACATAATCTCCCCATCTTCCTCCGAAATATGATTATTAAAAATTTCTATTAATCTGACGATTCGATCTTCCAATTCTTCTGCTTTCGGAATAATATTATTTGCCAAACGAGCATTAGAAATAAGCCCAACAATTAACTTATGTGCTAATCTTAACACTGAAATTAATTCAATTCCGCTAACCATGATAGCAATGGTTTTCAATGCGTAACTTTTTTTTCTCTCTTAAATAGAATGCATTTAGGCTAAAAAATTGTAACTACTAAACCGGTTTATTTTCAATGACAAAAGGAATTGTAGCTGTGTCACGCATACTAATTGTACTGCATAAAACTGGCAAGATGTAGCTATCAAAGAGTGCAGAATCCTAGATTATTTAATGCGGGTCCCCGTATCAAGTCATTTCTTTGACACTTAATTTTTTTAGATATGTACAAATTTTTCATTGATAACTGATAAGCGAACACAAAATCTATATTTGAGAATATATACACATGAAACATACACGTTTAAAAAATTCGAAGTAAAATCTTTATTATATTTTTGTAAAGTAGTACATGAGAAAGAGCCGGCCAGCTAAGAAAAAATGAAAGTAAAAAAATGATAGAGTAGCAGGAAGGAAGAACACGCCTGCTTGTTAAGCCTGCCGAGCCCTAACCATATGATGGCCCCGCTACTCTTTACCACCATCTAAGTTATTATTAAGTTTGTTATCTACCCATAAACCAATATTATCTGAATGTAAATTGTGTCTTAGACAGGTGTTGGAGATTATCTTAAATGAATGTATAAAACGGGAATCATTTAGTTAATAGATTGTTTACACGCATAATGACGCTATCATGTATTTCTCTCAAATGAAGGTATAAATCGGGAATCATTTAGTTCACTATCATGAGAGTTAATAATCACCTGAATAACACATGTATAGATTTATATTTACATTTGCAAAACGCGCACATTTTAAAAATCAATCAAAACATTCTTTATTGCGAAGTAATACATGAGAAAGTGCCGGCCGGCTATGTAAAAAAAAAAATGAAACTAATAAAAGATATTGGAGTAGCAGGTTGTTTCAAGTAGGGTTCTGTAACCCGACACAGACATTACAATAGGCACCAACGCCTGGCAAAAAAAGGCTTGAACACTGGCGTTGGCATTGGCACTGGCACTAATACTTGGGCACAGTGCTAAGTAAATAGTACATATATTTTTTGCTCAGCAACGAAAAAAAATACAATTTTGCAGGAAAAAAATATTGACATCATCAATAAAGAATATAAGTAATTTTTTTCAGAGTAATATTATGCTATTTCTGGCAAATTGTTAAGAGGACTAAAATTTTTTTGACTTTCTTTAAGCCATGAATGCATTAGTATTGTGGAAGTAACTGTTTTTTCATTAAGATTTGCTCTGTCATTAGTAACTGTAAAGCCAGCTCTAGAAAATGCTCTTTTACTAGCAATGCTTGAAGGTTGAATGCCAAGATAGTCACGTGCCATCCTACTAAGAATTGGAAATCAGTTTGATAGTAACTTCCAATATAATATTCCATTATTATCATTTTCGAACTCTTCAAGTGGTTCCATTTCATATAATTCCAATTCATAGTCAATTGTATTTGTATTAATTTAAAACTTGCCTTTTAGGAAATGATCTACTAAATGTTTCAACATCATTAACTATTGTAGTTGAAGTGGTTGAGGGTGATGTTGAATATCTTGCCCATATAAAATTATTTTTTCATGAACACTATTAACATATTGATTTGCTTCATTTTCAGTATATTCTCCAACATCAATAATAATTGCCCTCAAATATTTCATCTTATATCTTAGATCAAGAACATGTGCAATTAAAATGTGATCTGCTATTACATCCCAATATTTTTTAAATTTTTTTATCATTAAATTATTACTCCTAGTTTTGCTGATATGCTGTTTGATTTCTAATATTACTGTCAAAGCATCTGAAATTGAATTTGATTGATCTTTAGAGAGGACTGCTGTAGCATCTTCAAATAGTTTGAGAACTTGGACAAATTGATTCAAGTTCAGCCAATTCCCCTGTTTCTAAACAAGGTGGCATTGATAGTTCTTTTAGACACATTTTTTTTAATTACTAGATGCAATAAAATATACCTTTTAAACATAGTTAGTCTGCTAGTATTGAGTTCTAACGAGTATCAATTTCAAGTATCAATTGCAAGAAATCTATTCCAACAACTCAACAATATGATTTTAATAATTCCAGTTGTTCATTAACTAAAGGATTAGCTAAATATTTTACAACCTTAATATGCACTTTTGTCAGAGATGTTCTATTTCAGTTAATCCTACTTTTACAATAAGATTAAGGATATGACACATACATCCTATAAATATTATATTAACATTAGGCAACTCTTTTTGAAGCAATTGTGTAACTGCTTTATTTGTTGTAGTATTACTATTCATAGTAAGTGCAAATAATTTATTCTTAATATCATAATTGTTCAATGTACTTTACTAAAAATACTACTTTTTTTAAATTAGTTTTATAATAATTTTGTAATACTTTTATTATATTGAAATGGTTTTATGAGATTTGAATTTATTTTGAAATTGTTTTAAAAGGATTACAAATGTAATTTAAAAATATAATTAATATGCATATACAAAATATTTTTGCAATAATTTTATAATAATGAATTTATTTTATATTGATTTTAATATTATTTTAAAAGAGTTTACAAATATATTTTAAAAATATAAATGAAATACTATATATGAAATATTTTTGCAATAATGAAATTACTTTGTATTTATTATAATATAATTTTAATAGAATTTACAGATATAATTTAAAAATATATCTATAAAATATTTTTACAATGATTTTGCAATAAAGAAATTTCTTTGTATTTATTTTAATATTATTTTAAAAGAGATTACAGATATATTTTAAAAATATAAATGAAATACTATATATAGCCTGTCTCTTATACACATCTAGATGTGTATAAGATACAAAGATATAAGAAGTTGCTATAGTATACTACCAGTAATAAATATTAGAACATTTTATTTTCACCAATCCATAAAGACCTTTATATTAATTTTCTTTGCAATACTTGTTTCACCTTCACATATTATAATTATATCAACTGTTTTTCAATTCAGATTATATAAATCTACTAAAATAGGATTTCGCCATTTAATCCGATTACTGCTAATGATAGTATTTGCATTATATTATATACGATTAATATTGAGTTTAACATAATGCCTAATCATTATTAAGATGACATTTACAATGTAATTGTCCAAAATAACTGATCTTTTATAAGCACATCTTTTTTTAACTTTTTTTAATTGAATTCCAAATACATGAATTACGTCTTCATTTGAAATAAACCTGCTTATATGTATTTCATTAGACAACTTATTAGAATTGCATCTGTAAATAATAACTTAATTGCCAATTCGCATGTGATGGATAGAAAAATTACCGCAAATTTGAAATCTGCATTTCGCTATAATCCCGAATAATACTGATATAACTCACATAAGGAGTTGTGTAGAGTTTATATGAAAAAAAAATTTTGAACTAGCAAATTGAATTTGCGTAGATCAATTAAAAATCTATAAACTCATAATTTTGATTTACTTAGATTAATTCTAAATTCAGACTAAGAGTTTTTATATATATAAAGATGATCATTTTTTAAGAGTAAATGCAAAGTATTTTATGTTATAAAAAATTTTTTATGTTATGACAAATTTTTTTTTTTTAAATATTTTTATAATTTACTGTTTTTTTTATAATTTTAATAAAAGTAAATTTTACTTTTTGTTTATAATCAATTTATTTTTATTTATTATATATTTAATTTATAAAATATTAATTATATTTATAATTTAATTTATTTTTATTCTTTTTTTTTTTAAAAAAAAATATCAATTATAAGATGATGAATTTAGACAAGTTTATTAGGATGTAGTGATTAAATTTATGCGATTTTAGACTTGTTAGAAAGCCCTTGATTTGCTCTATCCAATGGTATAAAAACCGCATATTTTGGTTAAATGGTTAATGAGAAATTACATCTCAAAGTTTAACAATTAATCTTACTTTATTATAGAATGAATTTAGATAAGTTTATTAGGATGTAGTGGTTGAATTTATGCAATTTTGGGCTTGTTGGAAAGCCCTTAATTTGCTCTATCCAATGGTATAAAACCTGCATATTTTGGTTAGATGGTTGACAAGAAATTATGTCTTAAAGTTTGGCAATAAATAAAATATTAATACAATTAAATAAATAAAGTTTTAATATAATAAATAATAAAAAGCATTTTTAAAAGTTTATAAATAAAATTTTAATACAATCAATACAATGGATAACAATTGATAAATATTTTTTTTGAACTAAGAGTTTGATTTGCATAGAGTTTATATGTAAAAAAAAGATGCATAGAGTTAATAGTAAATATTTGCAGATCATTTGTAAGTTATATTAGTATTATTCGGAGTCCTGTTTCTCTCATAGATTAAGTCAATCAATTTTTAACCAAATCACTTGAAATTTTTATTGAAAGTACTTTGAGATTTGATTTTTTTTATCCAAATATTTAATGTGATTCTTATAAAACTCAAAATTTTAAAAATCCATCTATAAATTAAACAAGTCAAAATTACATATGAAATCTGCATTTCCCCCATAAATAAGTCAATCAATTTTAATCAAATTACTTAAAATTTTTGTTGAAAAAATCTTGAGATTATATCTTTTTTATTTAAATATTTAATATTAATATTATAAAACTCAAAATTTTACAAAAAAATCCTAAACATTGCCAATTAGTCAAAATTTGAATAAATTTGCACCACTTTTTTTTGCCTTATGAAAGTACTGGCTAGAAGCCTTAAATTTTATATTTACATACTTTTACATATGTATTAATATATTCTTTAAAAAAAAATTAATTGAAAAAATACGGATTTTTTTTTATATTTGATTTAATACCTCAAAACCTGTAAAAACTACCTAATTTTAAGCAATTATTGATTTTTTTGCAATTTTTTTAAATTTTACAGTTTTCTAAGTTAAATAACTCTACAGAAATAAATTTTGATGCTTTAAAATGATCTGCGTCACCCTAAATCACATATTCTGAATGTGTACAAAGTGTTTATTTTTAGATTATTAAGTAAAATCAGGTTTTCAATTAGTTTATAATTCACATGTGAATTAGCAATTAATAGTTTAATAAATACTAATAGTGATACTTATATTCCAAATCATATACATAGTACTCATAATAATCCATAAAGTCAAACGCAATATTTAAACAGGTATCATAAAGTTGAGTTCTTCATATTGAAAACCAACCACATTCTTTTTTTCACGTCAAGTGCATTGTAAGTGGTTACACCTAAATAGTTAATACATTTTCGTACAAGAGCAAGAACCAGTTGCGGTGTTGGCTTACGAATTCTTATAAAAAGAGTCTTGCATTCATTAATAAAAAGATTTATTAATTGACTCTTAATAAAAAATATAGTTTGTTAGTACGTAAACAAATAATTTTATAATAAATTATAAATATTGCTATTAAACTTACATCATTTGCTTGAGAAGATTGATCAATTATCTTTTGGTTGGTTGTAATTGCATATTGACTATTAGATAGTAAACTTGTGAGAGCTGTTAAAGAAGTAGTAGTTATTATTTGAGCAAGAGTTGAAAGTAACGTTACAATATTAGGCTGCTAAGATAACATAGTGTTTCAATCAGAGAATATCCGTCACCATTATATCCGATCTGATTAGAATCCGCCATCCATTTATCCGATCTGATTAGAAATCCGTCATCTGGAATATCCGCATAAGTATCATCTGGATCATCCGGATTATCCTTAAGGATTATCTGGATTATCCGTTAATACCATTAAAATTTGTATAAGATATAATTCGAGCTGGCATTAACTGATCGGCACCAGAATTTCCTTTTTTGGATCCTTGTACAATAAGAATTCCCAATTTTCACAGAAATTAAAATTTCCTTTTTTGGAAATTTGTGTAATGTCACGTGATTTGACAGGATGCTCATTATAAATTAAATTTGTCGGATATCTGTCAGATGAATCCGTTATTATCCGTCATCCGAGAAATCCAATCCGTTATTATCTGTCATCCGTGTGATTCAATCCGTTAACTTATCCGTTATCCGTATAACCGCCAATATCCGGATATTCGTCAAAAATCTGGATAGCGGCTAATCAGATTGGAACACTAAGATAACACTAGTTATAAATCAGATGTCTGAATAGTAGCAGGTGCAGATGAATCAACCGCTGGAGCTGATAATGTAGATTCTTTTTTCAGTTTATCATTATTAGATGATTGGGTATTAGAAGATGGCATTGCTAAATCATCTAAAGCATTTACTGAAGCAGCTCTTTTATCATCAACATCATCAATGACCAAATAAAAAGGATTAAATTGGTCTGATTTACTATCAGAATCTAAAGTTTTAAATGGTCTGGATTAGTCCAGATTGGGGAGTAACCCAGAACTGGACTAAAATAATTGGTCATTTCAGCCCAGTCCCAGATTATCTTTTAACATAAATTGGATCAGACTGAAATGAACCAATTATTTTGGTCTGGTCTAGTCTGGTCCTATAATAAAAAAATGTTGTGCATTTTTTTTATAATAATATATTAAAAAAATGTTTTCACAATGTTTTTTCATTAAATTATTATAGAAACGTTGCGAAAATATTTTTTTTATAATAATATATTATAAAAAACATTTTTACAATGTTTTTCCATTAAATTAATTAAAAAAATATTGCAAAAATATTTTTCTAATTAAAATTACTTTGAAAAAACATTTCACAACATTTTTTCATTAAATTATTATAAAAACGTTGCAAAAACGTTTTTTTATAATAATATATTATAAAAAGGAGTTTGCTATTTATCACCGGTGGTGATCATCACCAGGACCCCGAACAATATATATATAGGTCAGATAAAAAATTCAAAATTTACTAAGGTCAATAAGCAAATATTTTTCATGTCTGCTAAGCAAACTTTTATCTAACCCATAAATTTTTTACACTGCTAAGCAATTTATTTTATGACATATATATATTTATATATAATTTTTTTTATAAAATATGTATATAAAAAAAACTAAAAAAACAAAAATTTTTGAAATAA